AGTGGAATGGGAAATGACAGTGGGAAAGACAATGAAAGTGATAAGAAAATGAAAGGATTAGAAATACCAGAAAGTGAAATGACAGCTTGGTGTTGTCATTGCTGTTATCCCTACTGTTGGTTCTCTGCATGGTTTGGCACTGTGTGACACTGTCTTGGCTAAGTACTGTGGCACAGTCCCATCACAGCACAGTGGGAACTAATGCCTTATCTTGGAGTTTCTATTTGTTTTGGTTATGGTGAGTTTTCCTTAAGCAACCCTGGCATTTGTTTCAATCACAACAAAACCCATCGTCTCACCTTAATTTACAGAGTCATAACTAGCAGTATTTCTTTTCAGCATAAAGAGTGCATTGGAACAAATGCCACTATTTATCACCTGTAATGCAGTTCTTTATAAAGGTCTTATGTGAGCAAAGAATAAAAATGCAATGATAGTCTCACAATAAATACTCTAAATCCTTTATTGCCTATTTATGGTGTAATCTCTCCACAGTTGTACAATATATGACTGTTTAGAAAAAGCTCTAGAATACAGTTATATGGTTTATTTACCAGGAGATGGCAATGGTGATCTACTGCAGTATTAACTTATGTACAAGGTCCACATAATTCTTCCATAACATCGCAAACTTCAGTATGAATGAAACCAAAGTATTCCAATACTGGTTTTGCCTTCCTTGTTTCTAACTTGTTTCAGTTCCTGCTATTCATTGTAAAGAAAGTACTTTTTCCTCTCATTTTTTTGATTGAGATCGCTGTCACTACATTTTTTAAAGATGTCTAAATACAATCATATTGGTATTCCAGAAAACAGAATACTATTTAAAAACAGAGCAGCCAATACCACTGAATAAGATATGCCATGTGTCAGAAAAAAAATGATTGATGAAAGCAAAAGCTTAAAAAATACATTTAATTTTATAGTATCAAAATTGAACTTGAGTAGTTAATGAAAAATAAATTATAGGTTCTGCTATTAAAAAGCATGTTATAATTTTCTGTTAAGTTACTTGAAGTATGGTCTTAAAATATGTAGATGCCAATCATTTTTACAGAACTTGAAAATAACTGTGGTCTGCAATGCTGTCTGAGTTTTTATGTTACTTTAACCTACAATAAGGCAGAGATATCATGGATTAGTGTGACGTTGATTTCACATTGTAGAAGGTCACCACCATAAACACTGTAAGTAAAAGTTTAACTTCTTATGGGATTGCTTTATGTTACTTTATATCTTTATCCACGTGATTGCCCATTTTTCAGTCTTTTACCCAGAACTTGCACTGGCTGACCAGGTGGTTCGTGCGTGTTTGGCACATGTTTGGTACTGGGCAGTTTCCAAACTGAAGCAGTAACCGGTGAGACTTACTCCTCTCCTCCCCCCAGCTACATCCCTGCCTGTATGGAGTGATCCAGGGGCACTGCTGGCTGGCTAAACATGCTCTGAAGCAGATCTAGACCCACCCACAACAGTGAGCATCTTTTACCAGCAAACTGCTCCAGTGGTTTGTCTTTTCCTCTGCTATTCTGAGATACACAGTCCACGTCTCACAGTAGTCACTATATGGTTCTCAGCTGAGAGGGTTATCTACCTTCAAGTTAAAGAAATATTTTTACTGCATCTGCTCTTTACAACATCAAATGCCAGCATTATTGCCTTTCCACCGCTACTATTTTAGTGTTACTAAAATAGCAAGCGAGGACCTTAGAAGTGTGAGGCTGAGAGGAGCATGGAATAGGTCATAACCACAGATGATAGGAGAAAAGCATTGTTTTACTCATGTGAAGGTCTCAGTTTTCTATTTTTATCGATTGTAGTTCTTTTTCTAAACTTCTTCACCACAGTGTCTACCTTCCTACGACTACATCTTTCCTTCCTCTGCTCTGCATTAAGTGATAATCAAACCTCACCTCTACAAGGAAGAAAAAGCAAATTTAGAGCATACAGAGAGTATTTCACTTGGTTCTGCTCTCTTCACACCTTGATATCAGACAGCTTCTGTGTTGGGATCTGCCTGCTCAGACCTCATGATACACTTTCTAGGGGAACAGCTGGCTCCACCTCATCAGTAACAGGATACACCTCTGTACACAACAGCAGTCACACATTTCACATCTTCAATATGTTCCCATTCATGGACCCTACAGAGTACAACAGGAAGACAGAGGTGAGAAAGACCTTTGTCAGCCTTTTTTCCAATAAGGAAATCGATCTGTGGAGCAAAATTACATGACCAAGTGTAAGCAGCAGAAGAAATACTGAGCAGGGTTTAGAGTCTGTTGGCTGCTGGTGCCTTGCTGTATCAGGCAAACAAACTATCTCTCTTTCCCTCTCACGTTTTCTTACCTCTTTGCATTCCTCTACAATACAGCACAAAGTTAATCAATACACTCGGTGCTGCTGCCTCCCCTGAGCACCAGGGCAGCCACATGTTCCACCTTATGGCGAGGTTCTCCAGCAGCTCCGACATCTAGCAAGGCTGTGAGTCGCTCCGGTGGCATTCATGTCTCTTCAAAGGATAATTTTTCAGAAAGGGTAAAATGATGTTCAGACTGACAATTGCTCACACAAAATATCTTGTCCCCTCTGCTGGATCTCTTGCTGTGAGCACCATGTTCATGTCAGCAGTGTGGAGGAAGGAATTATGAGTTTCTCTTTTTCTATCACTTATTTAGCACCCACTCCCATCTCTCTTGTTTTCCCAACATAGATTGCGCTCACGCACCAGTACAGAGTAGAGATATGAATGTCAGCTTGAAATCAATTAGCTCAGCCATCCCTTTACTTTGCTAAAATCTGTCCTGTAAACAAACCAGACTGCAGGCTCTTGAGAGTGGGACTGTTTACAGCCTTGTTTTACATCGTTTAGTACAACAGGGCCAAAGCAGAGAGGCTCGGAGCGCCACCGTAGCACAAATAATTTTCAAAGTGACCCAGAGGGAGAAGCGAGGCCTGGCTCAAAGGTGAGCAGTTCAAGTCAAGAGAAGTTTAAATTTCTGAATTATAAAGTTGTAAAAAAGATTCAAAGGGAAGTAAGGGCATACTCAGCCCACTCTTTGATAGTACAATACATAAACCCCAGATTTTGTAGGAGTATAATAAAAGATAATAAAACCCAGACACAAGTCTGAAAAATTCATTAGTTTCTGCCACGACTAAAATAAGCACTGTCTAGGAAAACTACTTTGCAATGGTAATGAAAAGCAAGTGGAAAAGCAAGTGTTAGCACCAGTGCTGCAATGTGAAATAATTTCTGTATACTCAGATCTGTCATTGTGAACAATGTTGTTGATTATAAACCACATCAAATTCCCAGTCCCCCAAGACATGTATTTTATTTTGCAGTTTTTCTAGTAATTATGAAATCAACAGAATACTATCAAGTTTTACCACAATTAAGTTAAATATATACTTAAATGATATAACATACTTGGTAATTGCAATATCCCTCTAACTTCTTTCTGAGCAACAGTCAGCAATGTTTCTCAAGCATTTTCAGGGATGGCTTCTAATGATAATGATGATGCTCAGCTCTCTCATAATTTTTTAATTTCAAAGCTGCTTGAATCCAATTTAGAATCAAGATTTGACCTGCAGAGCTTCATTTCTTTTGAGCTGATAAGACAAGTCTCCAAGGTCTGAATGGATTTTACAGCCTCTTCAGTGCGTGTGGGTTTGATGGAAGAGCCGATGACGGACTTACAGCAGTGCGAGCAGTTCTCTGAGAACAGGTCTGTATCCAGTCACTTGTGAGATACTGTTCACTTGTAGAGCTATTACCATGTCATCCTGCTGAAGACCTTTGGGCTCAAGGCAATAAAAATGCTTGTCTTAGGTCTCCATTAAGAGAACGGCCATGTGGTGCAGTGCTTCAAGCAATCACCACTTGCTCAGGGTAGGAGGCCTGCCATAGTGTTGTGATGGGCCTGTGAGGCAAGAAGTTTGTGGTGGTATTTTTCTCAAAACCTGGGAATCTCTCTACTTTGGCAGTTTTGTCTTAGTGCAGCTGATTGTCACTGCCATTCTGGCCATCAGAACTGGGTGTATACCCCAAATTTATGTTTACAGGTACTGACAACCAGTTTGTAAGAAAACACAAGACAAACTCATTTGTACTTGTACCATTAAGTTAATATGTATTTATACACGTTTGCTCAGAAAAATAAAAACTCAGTAGACTAGATGATCTCGGAGGTCTTTTCCAACCCTTATAATTCTATGATTCTTATTACCAGGGTTTGAACATCTTGGTTCCATCTGACCTTGCTCTCCATATGATACCATTTGTCTGAGAGGTAGTTTTCTGTCTAATTGAATAATAACTTTTTATTAATTTGGTTCAGTAATTGACTTTTTTTTTTCAGGTCACTGAAAACAAAGGTCAGATCAAGCAAACATAGATCACATCTATTTCAAATACTGTTTGTCTAATTATATTTGGAAATTTTGATTGCATAAAGAAACTATTATGACTGTATATTAAATAGTGATTCTTTACTGAAACTGATAGAATTGAAAAGTAAGTCAGTTTATATAAAAGAATATAGAGTCTTAAAAGTTTCTAATTTTATGAATATAATGAGCCACATTTTATTTGACATTAAGTAATATGCAAGTTGATATATTTTGGAATGCACGATAACATCTTCAAATCCATTCTAGAATATGAAATCTTCACCAGGATTTTAAAAGCATCTCTCACAGGCCCAAAATGATTGGAAAAAAAAACACAGAAAAGATGTGTTTCCTCTAAATCTTTTAAACAATAAAGGGAAGCTAAAGCATTCAGTCTTTCTCCCCTTTGTTTTTTTAAATTCAGCCTGAAAACACAACATCCTCCTATCTATCTCCCAGGTTATGGATATAGAGAGTATATTTACCTTTTGCCTTTTTCCTGCTAAAATCAGCCAGTGCTGCTTTGTGGTGGGTGTAATCACCTGGGTATATGGTATGGTGAATATAGCACTAAGAAACCTTTTGTTTTCTCTTTTCTTTAGAAAACAGTGAGATCTCTGTGCTCAAGATTTCCTTCATAAAACTGTCAATTGGATGACTATGTTAAAGAAACAAGAAGAATGAAGAGGAGAAAAGGTAATTACAAGAAAAAGTTAATTGCCAGCCATATGCAGTCCGTCATAGCGGATGTGTATTTTTCATTACCTACATGGGATAAAGATTTCTCAGCTCAACTGCATGAAAGGGATTGTTTTATGTCTGTTGAAAGATATCTATTTCCATTGGACTTTCTGATTAGCCTGTTATGTTCCCTGGGTGGCTAATTCCTAATGCTTTTCTATATCTAGAGCTCATCAGTCATAACCTGTGCCTGTCCCAGCGCCTCTCCCTTGATCAGGGATCAGCCCATTTTTTGCCAATTACTGGCATGCCCGGTGAAAGCTGAGGCTCAGGTTTTTTGTGTCTTCACTACCACAAAACTTCAGGGCAAACATCGCCTGGGTTTTAAACCAGCTCGAGCAACACTGAATTCAGCATGAATTAACCTCCTTGTTTTTTTCAGCTTTCTGAATGAATTTTGCAGCTTAAACTTGTGGTCTCTGTGCTTCTGAAGACAAACTTCTACCTTTGCCCAGTGTGTCTGTTTCTACATAGTGTTTGGCTACCTCCCTGTCACACTACAGGCACATGCTCCTGTACAGGGACAGGCTAAGAAATTGCACACTGGGAGTAAAAATACCCATCATTGTGACTAATGACCTTTTTGAAGGCTTAATGATCAATTTGGGTGACTGCCTTACGCAGACCTGTCTAAAACTATTTTTGTGCTATACTTCCAAAAATTCCCCACCCAGATCCAGTTCTTTTTCCTGTCTACTTATCTCACTTTTCATTGTCATGAAATGAGAGCAGAACTGCAGGCCCTATTTCACACATCTTAATAGACTTGACATGTTGTATCTGTAGTAGAAATGATTTAAGTAGTCAAAGCCTAGGACATTGCAATCTTTCTTCACTGAACATAATTAGAGATTATCTAATTCTGCTAGTGCAACAAAATGTGTGTAGGTTGCTATAAGCCCTGATTTCTTTGCCAGGATGTGTGCAGACAGAAGACTGTGCTTTGCTATGTGTGGAGAACCCAACCAATGTGAGCTGGGACTGCTGTAGGCAAACCACATGATTTTGTGCTGTGCTATTCCTCACAGGAATGTTTCTCTCTTGAGCCAAATTGTCTTTACTCTTTTATCCAGTTACTTTACAATAAAAATTACTCTGAGTAAGTAGGAAGTAAACAAAGTGAGCCTTTTCCTTCACTATACTGCACAATAAACAGGTACCAATATATCTGTGAATATATTTTACATTTTACAGGCACAGAGACAAGTAGCTGAGAATTTCTGGTTAATTTATTCTCATCTTCCTTGGGAACAGTAAGCTAGCTAGAGAGTCCTCAGAATCGCTGAAACACTCACTTAGAGGTGGTTTCTGTCTGTTACCTCCTGTATTAAGATATTGATTTGGGCTTCAAGAGCCTCCACACCATTTTCTGCTCTGCCTTCCTCAGAGAAGGAGCAATCTTTCAATCCCAAGAGTCACCCTGTGGTCCAAGCAGAGACTAGGCTTTTCATAGCCAACCCAGTCATCTTGATTGCCCCACATGTGTAGTTCCTATCTTCCTCACAAAAGATTTTTAGAAACAGCAAAATAAGAGAAAATTTTGAGGAGAGAGAATCTCGGTGGGAACAGTCCAGCTACTTCAGTTTTACTGACAGCTTAAACAAGTGGAGCTGTCAATGTGTGGGGTAAGTCAGTGAAAAGTCAACCCATACGTGCTGCTATGTCAGCTGGGAGAAGTCAAGTGTAGGTCTTGAAAAACAAAAAGGACAAGATGGGTCCAATACATTTGCATTTAGCGTGGCCATGTAACTGTAAAATAAAGGGAATTCCTAAAGGAAACATTTCTTTGTCACGTAAACACTGAGCTGCTGTGAACAAATCTGGCAAGGCTGAGGATCTGGCTCCCCAGGCTGAACATCAGAATACCATGAATAATGTCAAGAGGCAGCAATGGGGCTGTCAGATATTGCTACTGTCATTACCCTATTACTGCAAATATCCACGAATTTCACTAGGTTGTAGAAAGTGTCAATGGATATTTTAATCCATAAGCAGAGAAAACACAACTATTTTACCACATAATCATCGAAGCTAATCTTTGACAAGGTTATTACTCACACCTCTTCCCTTGTAATCCCCCACATGCACATACAGAATAAGGCTCTGAAGCCTAATCTTTCCAATGCTGAAAATGAGACTTTTATGCAAACTGATAAAAGTTCTTTGTTTGATTTATCTGTAAACCAAAATAGTCTGGTAGTTTGCCTTGAAGTTAAAAGGAAAAAAACATACTCTGTCAAATCCCGTGTATTCCTTTTTATGCATTTTGTCATTTCCCCTCTATTAACTCTGTCCTAAGGTTGAAAAGAAGAGTGCTCTCTAGCTTCCATTTACATACTGTACTTTAGCTTTGACTTTTTTGGTTGCAGCCTGTTAAATGTATTGACTATAAGCCCCTCGAGCTATTGAAGAGTATGCAGCTTACATTGTATATCTTTTGAAAGATGCTACTGGTAGCCTGTTTTAATGTGTTTGCTCTCTCCAGATACAATTTGTCTTACATATTCATTGGTTTTTAGTACCAGGACCAGTTTCTTCGTTGTAGCTATTGTTTGGGAGTCTCACAGAGATATTAAGGCTTAGTAGTTTTTCAGTGCTGCTCAAGGGATCTGAGTGTCAAATGAAATAATAAGTGGGAATTTGGGCACTGAAAACCCCTAAGCAGCTGGCTTTGGAGAGCTCAATAAAAAAATAATAAAAAAAGGAAAATAATTTGAGATGGCATGAAAGACATTTTGGGATATCTAGGATGTTTTATATGCACAAATAGAGCTGGCCAAACAGTAGTGCTTTCCATTCATTGACAGTTATGTTTCATTTTAATTTGAAGATTTCATACAGCCTGAAAGTCAGAGAAAATTTCATTTGCTAAACGCTAGCACATGGAGCTGGGAACACGGAATATGTTCCCCTGCATACTGCAGCTGCTTTTTCTAGTGGAGGAGCTGACCAGAATACTGATTTCATTAAGCCAGGGTTCTGGATGGAACTTCTCTTTTATTTTCTCTTTTCAGATTAAAGTCAGGGCTTTCAGGTGTTCTGTTGCACAGGGGAGAGTCCGAAAGCCTCAAGAGAGATGGTTGCTTACGGATCCTGAGGCTCCCAGACCTCTCCCATAAGGCTGGTTCAGAGTGTGGAAATGTGACACAGTGCATTCAGCAGTTCTGGCTCTCACTAACAGGAATCCCAGTCTTTCCCCAGCCCTGATGTAGAGGTGCACTTTGGAATACCTTTTGTTCCTCAGTACAGGTGTTTGCATGTTGGCCATTCATGCTAACTTGGAATCTAACCAGGTGGGACACCCACAGCAGCATAGATTTAAAAGTACAAAGTACAGACAGACAGCTGTGAATTGGGATTTTCAGATTTATGCTACCCTAACCTGCCTAGTCAGCTTAAAAGTAGCCAACATGTCAAAATCTGTTGTGCATCTGTGAGTTGGTCTTTCATTCAGATCGTCTGCATCCTGTTCCAGGTGCAATCACGTGGCATTCAGTCCTGAGACAGAAATCTGCTGTGGCATATTTTTGTCTCTAGAAAATCCATTCCAAAAGTCAAACTCCTTTCTCTCTGGGAAAGCCATGAAGTCAGATCAAGTCCTGAAACTCCAGGTATTGATCTGTACCCTCAGTAAGGTACAGGTGAGGTCTCTGTGCACTGCAGCCCGCGCTCTGTGCTCTTACCAGTTTGGTGCCAGGCTTCCCGTTATTCCACCCACATGTTTGTACCTTCAAAATCTATTTTTGTGAGGAACATCTGTGGTCCCAACAAGTACAGAAAAAGAAAGGTAATTCAGTCAATGTTTCACATGGCAAACACTAGTTGTATTTTGGTTTTCAGTGAATAAAAGGAGGGGAGGTCATGGTGTCCCCAGTCCCACTTGCTGGTTTAGATCCTCTGTGGCCACATCAGCATGGAGGTGCTCTCTTCTTACAGGGAACCAGGATAGCCTAAAATATTTCCATGCCATTTTTTCATAGCACCTAAAAGATTTCACAGACAGAGACGCTGCAACTGTTAATGGAATTAATTCACATTTACTCTATAGCAGGAGTATCTGTTGTGGAACAGGAATGTATTTTGGCTTATAGTGTATATGTCAAATAAATACAATTGTCTATTTCTGAATCTTTATAGCACCCATCATCATAATTAGCTTAAGTGAAGCTGTAATTAGCTCGCATATAGCTTAATTTGCTGCAAAGTAAATCACCAAATAAATCAATAATTTACAACCAAGCAAACAGTGCAGGCTTCTCCAGAAGAAAAAAAAACCAAACCAACAAACAAGCTGTTATGCCTGGACATTTCCAAATTCAACACCACTCCTTTCCTGCCTTCTCTGAGAGAGGTGTGACAATTTTCAGCACCAGACTTTTTCATTCAAGCACGCAGGAATCGTGTAAAACCAAACAAATAATGACATGAAACAAAGCTTTGATTAGGAGCCTGTGAATAATGATCCTTTTCACATATTCAGTGTCTAGGATGTTTAACATGTTTTACATGTAGAATATTTCAAGCAAGTCCTAACAATTAGATTTTGGTATCAAGAGAAACACACTTTGTTAGAGAGGGAGCGTGTCAGGGCTTGGTGCCAATCGGTTGCAAGCAGTTATGTTGCAAACACATCCAACACCCACATTTGGAGAAGTGCAAGAGGGAACACGTTTCTCATTTTCCTCCTTCCTGCTCTCTTTTCCTACAAATTCATAAGAGGCAAGTGTAACCTACAAAGACGAAAAAAAATGGTGACAGAAATTTTCCATGGCATGAGTAAATCACAGGTTTACATTGCTGAAAAATATTTTTGTGTTTGGATGCTTTTTTACAAGTTATTGCTATGGAGACTGTATTAATTGGCTGCATTTCTCATGTGTTGTAGGTAATAGTC